GCCGGTGTTACTGCTGGATGTTCGGATCAAAGAACATTACCAGATACTACAGTACTAACTCTACAGATACTACAGTACTAACTGTACAGATACTACAGTACTAACTCTACAGATACTACAGTACTAACTCTACAGATACTACAGTACTAACTGTACAGATACTACAATACTAACTCTATAGATACTACAGTACTAACTCTATAGATACTACAGTACTAACTCTACAGATACTACAGTACTAACTCTACAGATACTACAGTACTAACTCCTCTACAGATACTACAGTACTAACTGTACAGATACTACAGTACTAACTCTACAGATACTACAGTACTAACTCTATAGATACTACAGTACTAACTCTACAGATACTACAGTACTAACTGTACAGATACTACAGTACTAACTGTACAGATACTACAATACTAACTCTACAGATACTCCAGTACTAACTCTATAAATACTACAGTACTAACTGTACAGATACTACAGTACTAACTGTACAGATACTACAGTACTAACTCCATAGATTTTACAGTACTAACAGTACAGATACTACAGTACTAACTCTATAAATACTACAGTACTAACTGTACAGATACTACAGTACTAACTCTACAGATACTACAGTACTAACTCTACAGAGACTACAGTACTAACAGTACAGATACTACAGTACTAACTCTACAGATACTACAGTACTAACTCTACAGAGACTACAGTACTAACAGTACAGATACTACAGTACTAACTCTACAGATACTACAGTACTAACAGTACAGATACTACAGTACTAACTGTACAGATACTACAGTACTAACAGTACAGATACTACAGTACTAACTCTACAGATACTATAGTACTAACTGTACAGATACTACAGTACTAACTGTACAGATACTACAGTACTAACAGTACAAATACTACAGTACTAACAGCACAGATACTACAGTACTAACTGTACAGATACTACAGTACTAACTGTACAGATACTACAGTACTAACAGCACAGATACTACAGTACTAACAGCACAGATACTACAGTACTAACAGTACAGATACTATAGTACTAACTCTACAGATACTACAGTACTAACAGTACAGAAACTACAGTACTAACTGTACAGATACTACAGTACTAACAGTAAAGATACTACAGTACTAACTGTACAGATTCTACAGTACTAACAGTAAAGATACTACAGTACTAACTGTACAGATACTACAGTACTAACAGTACAGAAACTACAGTACTAACTGTACAGATTCTACAGTACTAACAGTAAAGATACTACAGTACTAACTGTACAGATATTACAGTACTAACAGTACAGATACTAGTCCAGCTGTGTACTGAGGTGGTCTAGTCTCTGGGTCAGGGTCTGAGGATTGTCAGAGGGGTGGAGGGTTTGGGTGAACAGAACCTCAGACTGGTCCTCTTCTGGTTCTGCAGGTCCAGCTCTTTGTCTTTCCTGCGCTGTGATTGGACGGTGAGGTCCTGCGCTGTGATTGGACGGTGAGGTCCTGCGCTGTGATTGGACAGTGAGGTCCTGTCAGCACTGAATGGCTCAGTGAGTCCAGTCTAAAGATGAACTCAAAGGGAGGCGTGGCCGCTCTGACCCGTAGGAACTACCGGCTGGCGTCGGACACTGACAAACCCAGAAGCACAGGTAAGAACCATCAGAGAGAACAGGTGCGCCCAACAGGGCGTGGCTTACAGTGAACCACCTGGTCAGGTGAAGGTGTGTCTCTGCTGTCTCAGGTATTGTTAACGAGAAGCTGCTGA